AAGCAATGGTAGTGTAGACATGGAGAAAAGAAAGCCTCTCGCAAAACGTTTTCATAACCATTAGAGCTCATTATGATTTGTATGGTTGATAATTGAGTCGACTCTGTCAAACTCATTTTTTTAAATGAGTTTAAAAAATTGTTTAAATTTGATTCATTTAAAAAATGAGTCAAACTCGAGTCTAAGTTCAACATAAGTCAAACCCAAATAATTTAACTATTTTACATATAAACTAGTTGAGTTATGAGAATTCGAGTCAAGCCTTTTAGACTCGTTTTTGTAAATAAGCTTAAAAAATTATTTAAGTTTAACTCGTTTAAAATATACGAGTCTTTTTCAAGCCTAACCCGTCTGAATTCTCAATCACTTCGTGCATTTGAGAACTTTATGAATTCAAATGCTGACATGATCACTTATGATATCATGTGCTGGTAGGATTTGACATCTTATGGTAAACTAGCTGGTTTTTTACCAAATAAAATGAGAAAGTGTTGTGTGCTCACCAAGCGCTGCATGGCGTATATCACCAATAAAAAATTTTACATGTTTAATGTATAATTGTTGCCTTTTATTTTGTCATAATTTTAAAAAAAAAATAAGTTAACTTGTATATTCCACAAGCTAGACGCGTGACAAAATTTCATTGAGTGTAGGCATTAAAAGTGTGCTCTATAAACACTCAAATATTTTTTCAAAGAAAATAAGTCATTGTTCACTCTAACTTTATCTTAAATGATAGTAACTATGACTAAGATTGTGCTATATGTTCTGACTTACTGATACCTTTAATCCTATTTGCTCTAAATTCACCACTATTGGATTTATCTTCTTTATTTTTTGGTTTAACGGTCAGGGTATTTAGATCAACTTACGCACATTTTAACTAATTTCCTTTTTAGTCTGGTTAAAAATAGGTTATCCACGCCAAGATTATTGTATTCATGAGGAATAAATTCCTTGTAATCTGATCTCTTTAGAATTTAGTTAAATTTATCTTCCCCCTATATGTTTGCAACTTGCCACTATTGTTGTACTTATAACTTGAGTTGTATTAGTATGATGTTTAATTTTTTGTGCAATTACTGGTTTAGGGGCGTCACTGACTAACTCATTGAAAAACCCAAAAAGTAAACGTAAATGTGATCTAAGGATGACAATTGCTTGAGAATCTCATCAATTGTCTCTTTTAATTTTTAGTACGGTATCGAAAAATCAATTAGCGATAGCTTGTAGCGGCCTCCATATGAATAAAGTTTATTCCACTCAAACAATTTTACACACTTTCATTCATAAAACTCTACTTCGTTATTAAGGAAGAATCCAAATTTGATCTGTTACATCTTCCACATCTGTGTCTACTCAAAATAAAAATACACACAAAACCAAAGTTACCATGCCATTCTAATTATGACCCTTGATATTTTAATAATCATATAAAAACCTAAATTCAAGTTTTGTAATTGAAAATTTTCTCTCATAATTAAACAAATTTATCTTCAATTTTCTACCCAAGTTTGTTTATTATTGTAGAAATAATTTACGTGAAATTGACTGATAACAAAAAATTTTCTACTTGATGGTGCTCGAGATCTTCTTACCCAACTACAATGAGAAGAGGCCCAGAGGGGCTTCATGTGTGCTTATGACAGAGGGTGCGTTACAAATGGTTTGGGGATGAAGGTTGCTGTTACGGATGGTTTGGCTAAGAGCCTTTATTTTTAAGGTTGCTCCTGGNTTTTCTCCTATTTTAATGTTGAATGACGTTTTATATTTTGAAGAAACTTTAAATTTTAGTTTATACGGAAGAAAATTTTCACATTGTAATCTCAATCAGCTAAAAATATAACAACATATTCATTGTTCTGTCCGATAAANAAGAGCCTTTATTTTTAAGGTTGCTCCTGGTACTCTCTCTTGCCTATCTTTTTATCTATCCCTCATTTATACAAGGATATCGTTTGCTATTTATACATCTTATTATTAGGATTTCGCAGTGATTCCTTTTTTGGCAGATTCTGTAATCCCCTCTTTATTTGTCCTGTAGCTGAACCTGTCACCTTGACGTTTTCTACGCCCACTACACTTGGGATGGAATGTGTATTTCCACTAATGGTGAACATTCGTTCATTAGAGTTATTAAGTATTGTTCCCTTGTCCCCTATCCATGTGGCGCAACAGGGGTTGTCTTAGATCTGTTTGGTGCCGAGGTCCAAATTTCCAAACAGATACTTATAGTCAAGCTTGTTAACATTAAGCTGACGACCATCTTGGACTGAATGATTCTAGGCATCCTATGGAGTCATGTCGTGCACTAGTCTGAGTGTTTGGGACCTTTGGGTCTTCTTTGATGAGCCGCCAAGAGATTTTGGGCTTAGAAAGAGATCCAAACTTAAATTCATTATCATCACAAGTTATTCCCTTCCCCCAAAAAAAAAAAAAAAAAATTTTTCTTGTCTCTTTTCCTACCTCCTTCCCAATTACTTTCCCTCTTTTTCTCCACATCCCCTCCCCCACACCATTGATTTACATATTGAGAAATTATCACATATTAATCTGTGATTTGTGAGATATAAAATAATTTTTTTCAATTTTTCTTATAATACCATGTGTAGATCAATAATAAGATATCATATGAGTAACAATCATTCATTAAAATTGTAAGATATCTTATTAGTGATTTATATCACTTAANTTCCTTTTTAGTCTGGTTAAAAATAGGTTATCCACGCCAAGATTATTGTATTCATGAGGAATAAATTCCTTGTAATCTGATCTCTTTAGAATTTAGTTAAATTTATCTTCCCCCTATATGTTTGCAACTTGCCACTATTGTTGTACTTATAACTTGAGTTGTATTAGTATGATGTTTAATTTTTTGTGCAATTACTGGTTTAGGGGCGTCACTGACTAACTCATTGAAAAACCCAAAAAGTAAACGTAAATGTGATCTAAGGATGACAATTGCTTGAGAATCTCATCAATTGTCTCTTTTAATTTTTAGTACGGTATCGAAAAATCAATTAGCGATAGCTTGTAGCGGCCTCCATATGAATAAAGTTTATTCCACTCAAACAATTTTACACACTTTCATTCATAAAACTCTACTTCGTTATTAAGGAAGAATCCAAATTTGATCTGTTACATCTTCCACATCTGTGTCTACTCAAAATAAAAATACACACAAAACCAAAGTTACCATGCCATTCTAATTATGACCCTTGATATTTTAATAATCATATAAAAACCTAAATTCAAGTTTTGTAATTGAAAATTTTCTCTCATAATTAAACAAATTTATCTTCAATTTTCTACCCAAGTTTGTTTATTATTGTAGAAATAATTTACGTGAAATTGACTGATAACAAAAAATTTTCTACTTGATGGTGCTCGAGATCTTCTTACCCAACTACAATGAGAAGAGGCCCAGAGGGGCTTCATGTGTGCTTATGACAGAGGGTGCGTTACAAATGGTTTGGGGATGAAGGTTGCTGTTACGGATGGTTTGGCTAAGAGCCTTTATTTTTAAGGTTGCTCCTGGTACTCTCTCTTGCCTATCTTTTTATCTATCCCTCATTTATACAAGGATATCGTTTGCTATTTATACATCTTATTATTAGGATTTCGCAGTGATTCCTTTTTTGGCAGATTCTGTAATCCCCTCTTTATTTGTCCTGTAGCTGAACCTGTCACCTTGACGTTTTCTACGCCCACTACACTTGGGATGGAATGTGTATTTCCACTAATGGTGAACATTCGTTCATTAGAGTTATTAAGTATTGTTCCCTTGTCCCCTATCCATGTGGCGCAACAGGGGTTGTCTTAGATCTGTTTGGTGCCGAGGTCCAAATTTCCAAACAGATACTTATAGTCAAGCTTGTTAACATTAAGCTGACGACCATCTTGGACTGAATGATTCTAGGCATCCTATGGAGTCATGTCGTGCACTAGTCTGAGTGTTTGGGACCTTTGGGTCTTCTTTGATGAGCCGCCAAGAGATTTTGGGCTTAGAAAGAGATCCAAACTTAAATTCATTATCATCACAAGTTATTCCCTTCCCCCAAAAAAAAAAAAAAAAAATTTTTCTTGTCTCTTTTCCTACCTCCTTCCCAATTACTTTCCCTCTTTTTCTCCACATCCCCTCCCCCACACCATTGATTTACATATTGAGAAATTATCACATATTAATCTGTGATTTGTGAGATATAAAATAATTTTTTTCAATTTTTCTTATAATACCATGTGTAGATCAATAATAAGATATCATATGAGTAACAATCATTCATTAAAATTGTAAGATATCTTATTAGTGATTTATATCACTTAACAATAACACGTGGTGTGTTATACACACTACAAAATTTCTCACTTTTTTTTTTCTGTCACTTACTTTTTTCTCGGTAATCAAAAGATGTATAGGTAAAGTGTGCGCACCATTGAGTGGGATGATCCAGTGAGATATTGACCAAACTTCTCACCTTAAGGTTAGAGGTTCGAATCTTGGAATTCATATTGTGGCTCGGTGGTTGACCGCTATACTAGTTTAACTAAGTTTGTTCTCGAGAAGAATAATGAGCAAAGTCAATGGTCTCATAATTCCACCAATAATAATTTATCGGAGTAGTTTTTGAACTCTCTCTTTTGCCCCGTCTCTTTTTTCACAAGCAAAAAACAAAAACAAAAAAAAGGTAAAACGTGTGGACCACCCTTTCTTTTATTTTTCTCCTTTTAATTGTCCTTCCCACTTCTTTACCAGACTCTTTTTCTCTCTCCAATTAAACTTCCTCACTCCATGCATGGACTTCACCATTTTCTCAATTCCTTTTATCCACTTTACTGTAATGTTACTTCCGTAAAAACAATTTTATTGGTTTTTTCTAATATAAATAAATATATTATTAAAGTATAATTGATCAAAGGATAATTGCCACTTACCTTATTCCCATCAATCAAACACTACAGGGCAAACCTGTGGGCCAACCTCTTCTTTTTTTTTTCCACAGATGTGGGGTCTCAGTCCCTCTATAAATGCAACCATTTCTTGTCCCATAGTGGTCATTCATAAAGAAATTTTAGCGATTGCATATCCTCTAAACAACTTCCAAATGGGTGGTGGCAAAGGCGGTGGAGGTGGTGGTGGTAAAAGCGGCGGAGGTGGTGGAGCACCAGGTGGTGGCAGTAGCTCTTCAAAGGGCAGTGGCGGCGGTGGGTCTGGAATGATGAAGGCTCCTGGTGGGGGAGGATCATCATTTATCTCAAGAGCTGGCTTCCAGAGCAACCCTCAGATATACTTTGCTGGTCTGCATGCTGGTCAAAAGGGAAAAAAATAAGTTTGTGTGATGTTCTTCACTAGTATGTGTATCTATGTAAGAGTTTGCTCTATGTTTCTGTTGTATAATGCTTTTGTTGTATAATGTTGTATGAAATAATGGAGTATGCTTTTATAGCTCATACCTATAATCAAGATTTTTAAAATTGGGATCCTATTTTGAATCGATGGGGAGGCTATAGGATCAAGATCTTAGGATCGGATTGAAAATCATAACGTCCTATTAATTGAAAAAATGGGATTAAAATATATGTAACAATACAAAAGTTTAAAAAACAAGCCTAGTATATATGTAAATAGAAATGTCATGACAAACATAGATATGCTTGAAATTTGGTAAACTCAATATGGTTATTGAAGAGGATTTAAAATCAAAGATAGGTTGTTAATCTTGTAGAATTTGTTAAAGTGTAAAAGGAGAGTTGAAGTGCTTTAATCTTAAAGTTTAGAGGGGAAGACCGGGAGGGAGACAAAGGAGACATTGAAAATTTGAAACGCTATTGAATAATAACATTGACTACTCGACATCTAAACAAAATAAACGAAAAAGAATAAAAATGACATATTGTCTAGCTATGATCACTCGTTGAGAGAGTAGATCAAAACAAGCCGTTGTTTTCAACTTTCACAGGGAGAGAGAGAGTGAATTGTAAATGAAACAATTTTTTGTAGTTTTTATCATTCGTTGAAATTCCCTAATAGGCTCGTAATTATATAAAATATTTACATTTGCATCGAGTCTTTAACTATTAAAACAAAAAATATGGATTTAGTTGCTCAACAATTAAATTCACTTAACAACTTGTATCAGTAAAATCGTAGTTCGAATTAGGATCCTACAATCCTATAAAATTTGGATCACGATCCAGTTATATCCTATGAATTTGGATTTTACAATAGACTCAGATTGATTTACATATAATGAATCGTAAAATCTTAAGATCTGGATCGAAATTTTGCTAACGATGCCTATAATATGTTTAGGCTTAAACATGTTGTATAATTATTAGCTATATGTAGGATTTTGCTATAGTATTCAAATACCATGCTCAGATCTAGGACTAGATTAAGTTTTTTTTCAAACAAGTCAANTTTTTTTTTTCCACAGATGTGGGGTCTCAGTCCCTCTATAAATGCAACCATTTCTTGTCCCATAGTGGTCATTCATAAAGAAATTTTAGCGATTGCATATCCTCTAAACAACTTCCAAATGGGTGGTGGCAAAGGCGGTGGAGGTGGTGGTGGTAAAAGCGGCGGAGGTGGTGGAGCACCAGGTGGTGGCAGTAGCTCTTCAAAGGGCAGTGGCGGCGGTGGGTCTGGAATGATGAAGGCTCCTGGTGGGGGAGGATCATCATTTATCTCAAGAGCTGGCTTCCAGAGCAACCCTCAGATATACTTTGCTGGTCTGCATGCTGGTCAAAAGGGAAAAAAATAAGTTTGTGTGATGTTCTTCACTAGTATGTGTATCTATGTAAGAGTTTGCTCTATGTTTCTGTTGTATAATGCTTTTGTTGTATAATGTTGTATGAAATAATGGAGTATGCTTTTATAGCTCATACCTATAATCAAGATTTTTAAAATTGGGATCCTATTTTGAATCGATGGGGAGGCTATAGGATCAAGATCTTAGGATCGGATTGAAAATCATAACGTCCTATTAATTGAAAAAATGGGATTAAAATATATGTAACAATACAAAAGTTTAAAAAACAAGACCTAAACAAGCCTAGTATATATGTAAATAGAAATGTCATGACAAACATAGATATGCTTGAAATTTGGTAAACTCAATATGGTTATTGAAGAGGATTTAAAATCAAAGATAGGTTGTTAATCTTGTAGAATTTGTTAAAGTGTAAAAGGAGAGTTGAAGTGCTTTAATCTTAAAGTTTAGAGGGGAAGACCGGGAGGGAGACAAAGGAGACATTGAAAATTTGAAACGCTATTGAATAATAACATTGACTACTCGACATCTAAACAAAATAAACGAAAAAGAATAAAAATGACATATTGTCTAGCTATGATCACTCGTTGAGAGAGTAGATCAAAACAAGCCGTTGTTTTCAACTTTCACAGGGAGAGAGAGAGTGAATTGTAAATGAAACAATTTTTTGTAGTTTTTATCATTCGTTGAAATTCCCTAATAGGCTCGTAATTATATAAAATATTTACATTTGCATCGAGTCTTTAACTATTAAAACAAAAAATATGGATTTAGTTGCTCAACAATTAAATTCACTTAACAACTTGTATCAGTAAAATCGTAGTTCGAATTAGGATCCTACAATCCTATAAAATTTGGATCACGATCCAGTTATATCCTATGAATTTGGATTTTACAATAGACTCAGATTGATTTACATATAATGAATCGTAAAATCTTAAGATCTGGATCGAAATTTTGCTAACGATGCCTATAATATGTTTAGGCTTAAACATGTTGTATAATTATTAGCTATATGTAGGATTTTGCTATAGTATTCAAATACCATGCTCAGATCTAGGACTAGATTAAGTTTTTTTTCAAACAAGTCAAACTACGATCTAATTGAATTGATTTTGAAGTTCGATCGACAAAAACTTGGAATCAGCTGGGGCATGGTTGTTTCTCCCTTTTAACACTCATGCTATATTGCTCAACACCCCACTGGTGTTCCATGAGAAGAATCAGCTGATGAAGTCCCAAACCACTAAGCTAAAAACCTGATGAGGTTTTTAAGGTTGCAAAACATCATGTTTGGTTAGCCCAAAGACAAGATATGTATATATGTGATGTCACATTCTTCAATTTAATCCCAAAGCTAGCTCAAGTGGAGATAGGGACGAGCTGTAAATTCAGACATCTTAAATTCAAAACTTAACAACTCCTTAGGGCTAGCCTCCTGGACATTACCATAGTTTGGTTAGTAGGACGAGCCTCTATTGCTAGACGAAACGTATTCAGGCCTTGGGTGTGAGTTCGACTTCCTCCTACCGACTTTGCGAATTCTAATTTAACCGTTACACGTGCCGAGAGATCGGCGCGTACGACACTTCTCCGAATGGACCACATTCTTCAATTTAGTTACATTGAAAATCTTAAATTTCCAATAGTACTTCTGCTCAATAAAACTTCCACTATGCTGAGGCTGAATTGCTTGAGTCTCCATGAGATGTAAGTCCAAGTCCAGTGCCAAGCCCACTCAGTCTGGAAGTAAAATAATGTAGCCAATGCTGACTAAATGGTAAATAAGTGAAGTGAGTTTGATAATCTAGCAAACAAACTAAGTCACATTACGAAATAACTAAGGAAAAAATAATCAATTAGTCTTACTTTTCCCGACNTGTATAATATTGTATGAAATAATGGAGTATGCTTTTATAGCTCATACCTATAATCAAGATTTTTAAAATTGGGATCCTATTTTGAATCGATGGGGGAGGCTATAGGATCAAGATCTTAGGATCGGATTGAAAATCGTAACATCCTATTAATTGAAAAAATGGGATTAAAATATATGTAACAATACAAAAGTTTAAAAAACAAGACCTNATTATTACTGTACATATATATAATTTTATATCCAACTTTAACTTAATTAAAAATAAAGTCTTTTGCATATTTTGGGAGTCAAAATATTGCATAATTCAGGGAGCAAATTCGATGGTTCCAATGGCTGTACTAACCAAAACATTAGAATTTGTTGTTGATCCAATGGTTTTACTAAAATCACATCATTATGTTAATTAATTAAATCAAAATTTTAAATCAAAATAATACTACCAACTTTATGATGTCATATACTGACATAATCTCGTATGCTGCCACAGGCTAATAGGCTGTCACATCTTATGATCATCTAGAAATTATTTACCAACAAATTTATTAATTTATGATAATTTAAAATTTATTTATTATTCTACGATAGTTTTTAAAATTTGAGTTAATAAATTTATTTTTATGTAGAAAACGGAGTCAACCACTTATTACGGCATTTTTTGAAAACGAAGTCAACAAATCAGTTTTTTAAAATTTTGATAAAGTCTTTTTAAAAGCAGATTTGTTGACTCTGCTTTTTACATGAAAGTGGATTTGTTGACTTAACTTTTAAAAAAATGTCGTAAATTAGTAAATAAGTTTAAAATTGTCGTAAATAATTCTGGTTTTTGACCAAAGAAAATAAGTCATTGCTCATTATAAATTTATCCAAAATAGTAGTAACTATAACCAAGGTGGTGGTATATATTCTAACTTACTTTGAATAGTTATCTGTAAAGGGATTCACCGGTTATTCCATTGCAATTCTCAGAAAGTAAAAAAGCAAATGTAAACCAAGGATAACAATTACTTGAGAAGACCATCAACACTCTTTTTTGGTTTTTCAGTACAGTATCGAATTTTTTGTTAGCCTTCTCCAAAAGTAAAAGCAAATGTAATCTAAGGACGATAATTACTTGAGAAGCCTATCGACAATCTTTTTTTATCTTTTAGTTCGATACCAAAATACTTTTTTTGGTGATAGCGTCGTGCCCTCCATTTCAATAAAGTTTATTCTTACTCAAAGAATTTCGTACAGTTCCATTCAAAAACTCTACTTCATTATTGAGGAAGGGAGTAGTCTACGGTACCGAAAAAGAAACTTTTAATACTAAATCGTAATTTATAATTTAGTGAGTAAAATTATAAAAAAATTCACAAAAATAATAAATCACTTACAAAAGTTATAAAATGATTCATAAAAATTATAAAAATACCTGTTAAAATTTGAAAATATGGTACAAATTTTTTTTCCCACAGTCTTCTCATTAGGGAAGAGTCCAAATTAGGTTTGTAAAGTCTTCCGCATTTGTGTCTACTCAAACTAAAGTTACCCTGTCATTCCAATTGTGACCTCTGTTATTTTCATAATCATATAAAAACCTATTGTAATTGAAAATATTCTCTAATAATTAAACAAATTTACTTGTGATTTCTACCCAAGTTTGTATATTATTGTAGAAATAATACCTCAAATTGGCCGATAAAAAAATATTCTACTTATTCCTCCTCCTCACCCCAAAAAATAAAATTCTTTTTCTTCTCTCTTTTCCTACCTCCTTCCCAATTACTCTCTCTCTCTCTCTCTCTTAATCCACTCCACTGATTTACACATTGAGAAACTATTACAATACTAAGATATCTTATACGTGAAAGTCATTCATTAAAAATGTACAATATCTTATTAGTAATCTACATCACTTAACAATGCGAGGTGGTGTGTTAAACAAACTACAAATTTCACTTTTTCTTTACCTTGTCTCTTACTTTATTCTCGATAATCAAAAGATGCCTAGGTATAGCGTGTGGGTCACCATTTCTTTTATTTTTCTCATTTTAATTGTCCTTCCCATTTCTTTACAACACTCTCTTTCCCTCTCCAATCAACTCCTCCACTCCATGGACTTTACCATTTTCTTTCACCCTTTTAATCACTTTACAATAATGCCATTTCCATAAAAATAATTTTATTGGTTTTTTTTTCTAATCTAAATAGTTAGATTATTATGTTCACTTGATCGTTGAGTCGCACTTTTTGTCATATATTGTCCACACTCTTAAGCTCTAAACCCAAATTCATATATTAAGAGCAGATATGCTGTAAATCTGTGAACTCAAATAATTGAATTTGCTAATTCAACTTAACAAATTCACCAACTTAAAAGATTTGTTATTTTATGTATATAATATGTTGTTCTCAACATGCTCTCACTTTGAGAATTTTTTGAAATTTTGCATTCCCCCTCCCGCTCTTGCCCCCGCTCTTGATCCCACTATGCAAAATCTTGCTTCGTCCCTCTAATAGTCAAATGATATGGTTGTAATTTTTTAACTTCAATGATTGATTATTAGTACAAGTATCATATATGATTATTACATGATAATATGAATGAATCACAAGTCTAATTACTATTATAAGTCTCATATCACTATTATACTGAAGTTTGAATTAATAATAATTTTAAACATAAATGTAAAATAGAACCCCTAAATAGAAGTACAAATAAGAGTAGAATACAACCATAAAACAAAATAACACGTCAAAAAAATCAGTTTTGCCTTTTGATAAAGTAATTGTAACGTCTTTGTCTACACTATCTCTTTTTTTTTTTTGGTTCAATGGTCAAGGATGTTTGGGTTAACTTATGTGCACCTCGACTAATTCCCTCTCCGGTCTAGTCAAAGTTCGATCATTCATGTCAGGACTAATACATTCATGAAAGAAAAATCTCTCATGACCTAATTTTAAAAAGTTACAAAAATTCAAACTCAGAACGTTTAAATTTTCAACCCGCCCCTATCTCTTGGGATTTTAGTCTACACTATGAAGAATGAACAACTATGTCATTGGATATTATTGTAATTTATTGGTAAGAAAAAAGTTAAGTGAAAAATTGATCAAAGGGTAATTGCCACTTACCTTATTCCTATCAATCAAACACTACCAGGGAAACGTGTGCGCCAACCTCTTTCTTTTTTCCACAGATTTGGGGTCTCAGTCCATCTATAAGTGCAACCACTTCTTGTCCCATAATAGTCATTCAAAAAGAAATTTTCGTATTTGCATATCCTCTAAAGAACTTCCAAATGGG